TTAATCAGTTGTTATTGATTGCTATTGTGCTTGATCCACGCTACAAATTGGTGTATGCTGATTTTTGTTTTGATGATATTTATAGGGATAAGGAAGTTGCTTGTAATATGATAAAGATTTTGAAAGACAATTTGATTTCTATTTATGATTGGTACGTGAAATGTGAAGTAAGTTTTGAAAGCAATCAAGTATCTAGTGACTTGAATTCTTCAAGTGAGGTTTCTTCTGAGAAAGTCCCACTTCAAGTGTGTCTATTTCTCGTATTTCTAGGTTTAAGAGATCATAAGTAGCAAAAGATTTAATTGAATTGAAAAATGATGTGGATGGATATTTGTTAGAAGTTTGTGAAGATATCGAAGACGATGCTTTTTATGTTCTTAATTGGTGGATAGCTAATGGAAACAAATATGATATATTGTCAAAACTTCTGCAAAAGAAAGCCCCACTTCAAGTGTGTCTATTTCTTGTGTTTCTAGGTTTAAGAGATCATAAGTAGGAAATGATTTAATTGAATTGAAAAATGATGTGGATAGATGCTTGTGAAGATATCGAATACGATGCTTTTTATGTTCTTAATTGGTGGATAGTTAATGGAAACAAATATGATACATTGTCAAAACTTGCAAGAGAAGTAATGACTATTCAAGTGTCTACGGTGGCTTCAAAAAATGCTTTCAATACTGGAGGAAGAATTCTTGATCCATTTGGTAGTTCTTTAACTCCTGGAATGGTGGAAGTTTTGGTGTATACTCAAAATTGGATTAAAGAGTCTACAAGCATGGAGAAAATCTATATGGAATATGTGGAGGAATATAATAAGTTGGATGAAGGTAATATAGCTATTCCATGTTTATGTTAAATATGTATTTTATCAAATTTATTCATAATTTAATCATATTTTTTTGTAGAGCTTTTGGAATCAGATAAATCAAATAAAGGCTAAATCAATATGATTAGTTCATTTTTGAATTTTTGAGGTAGATATGTCCTACACTAAAAAAAGAGTGAGTTTTGTGGCAACTATTCATAAGCCATTTGGCCAAGTAAGCCGAGCCATTA